TGTGTGTCTCACCATCCGGAGCGTACGCAGATGTCTGAGAGGCACACCGGGCCCTGCTGCTCCGTCAGCTCAGCGGAGGAACACAGGCGGAGACACTGAGACGAGCTGAGGTGGAGATGGAGATCTGGAGCACTCTCATCCTGCACACACACACACACACACACACACACACACAAAGACAAGGATTAGCACACACACACAAAGACACACACAAGCACAAACATAGGGTGGGGCTATCGGTTCTTTAAGGCGGGGTTATCAGTCCTTTAGGGCGGGGTTATCAGTCCTTTAGGGCGGGGTTATCAGTTCTTTAGGGCGGGGTTATCAGTTCTTTAGGGCGGGGTTATCAGTTCTTTAGGGCGGGGTTATCAGTTCTTTAGGGCGGGGTTATCAGTTCTTTAGGGCGGGGTTATCAGTTCTTTAGGGCACCCATTCTCTTTGCAGCTCCTGATACCTTCAGCAGAGTCCTAACGGAGCCCACACGTCCCACCGCATCAGTCCTGCCGGCACACCTGCTCCCTTTCAGGTCCTGCTGGACTACTGCGCTGATCCTCACACTTTGACCCTCCTCTAGGAGAACACACAGGCCCTGGTAACACCAGTCCTCATACAGCAGCCAACTGAACACACACACACACACACACAGCACATTTAATCGTCAGAACTGTTGGATGTAAATATCTGCACGGCGCTCTGTACAGCACACAGATCAGCTCAGCGTGTGTGTGACGACACTCATTTATTCATCACCACTGGACCAAACCAGCCTTCAGCTCACGCCACAGCTACACTGGAGCTTTATGAGAAACAACAGTAAAAACACCCCAGTGTGTGTGTGAGTGCTGCTGAATAATGCACATCAGGAAGAACACACACACACACACACACACACACACACACACACACACACACACACACACACAAACATGCATTAGCAAGATGGCATTGCGTAAGCTCTCAGCACACACACTGAAAAACAAGCCAGAAACACAGCCGTACAATCACTACATCTATTAGAAATGAGCTACAGCGCTTTTATAGGTGCGCGCACACACACACACACACAGCTTCTGTCTCAGTCCACTTAGACACCAACAATAACATGAGCTCATTTCTTACACAACTGCAGTCTTGAATTCACATATAAAGGAATGTGTGTGTGTGTGTGTGTGTGTGTGTGTGTGTGTGTGTGTGATGCATCATCTGAGGGCAGTACAGTGGTTACCATCCTCTCAGAGCGTGTAGTGTAGCTCCGCGAGCCGTCAGCTCTGTCCTGGTGTCCTCCACATCTCTGCAGATCCTCCTCCTCTCACCACCTCCATCATAGATCAGCACCTGATACAAAGAAAACATCACTTATGGGGACCGAGAGACCCCTGAGCACAAACTGCAAACCGGTCCAAATCTGCTCACAGGCACAAACACCCAGAGAGGAACAGAGGACAGCATTACACTGTGTCTGAGCTACACACCACACCACAACACTCCAGCACTGAAACTAGGCTTCTCTTACTCTACTGTCATCCTGTTTCTAGACCAAACATCTAAAACTCTTCCATCTAAATGCTTCTTCCAGACCAGTAAGACATGTTTTCAGAGATACTGTGCAGAAATGCAGCGAGTTTCTTCTTTAAAACAAGTCAAATAATCTGCCGACGAGATGAAAGAACGGATGAGCGGGTCCACAGTGGAGGGTCAGGACGAGACTCTCTCCACCATGGCAAAGCTTGCTTGTTTTCCTGTGCTGCAGTGTCGTGTATAGTTAGGGCACAGTGTAAGAGCCTGAAGAGTGTGTGAGAGCTGCACTTACTGCTGCAGGTCTGGGGTTGATCTTCCCCAACACCCTGTTCTCCCGCTATGAGGACACACAGACAGAACAATCAGCTCATCTACACGTATACAAGCCAATCTCAAACCAGACTAATGCTCTGACCCTGCTCACCGTGACCCCTGTGTTGGCTATGCTGGGATGAACAGCGGCTGTGGTGTGGTCATCAGCAGACGGCATCAGTCCAGATTTCATGTACTGATAGAAGGGTGTGTTGGCACTCTTTCCAACATCTGCATCCGGCTCCTGCTGCTCTCTGTCTGTGCTGTGATCATCAGACGGGTCAGCGATGGGCTCGGGGAGGACCTGGAGGATCAGTGGTGCTCCTGTGTCCTCCTGGCAGAGCTGGTGACTCAGTAGCGCTTCCGTGTCCTCCTGGTGGATATGATGGTTTAGCAGTACCCGCACGTCCTCCTGGTGGTCCTGTGGGCTCCGTGTGCAGTGCTCCATCCTCCAGGTCTCCCCTGATCCTCTGTCCATGCTGGACTGCAGTTTCTCGCTGACGGACTGCAGGAGGGAGAGTATGGCGGCGGCCGGCTGCTCCACGCTCCTCTGCTCCTCCTGGGGCTCCTGGGGGCCCGGGGCCTCCTCGCGCACACACTCCTCCTCATATATGGGGGACAGGCAGAAGGGGTACGCTTTAGCCCGGCGTGCACTAGGACTGTGCAGAGCCCCCAGGTCATTGACGAACACCACATCACCCTCGTCCTCCTCACTGATGATGGAGAAGCCTCCGTCCGGCTGCAGGTCTGGATCCAGAAACAGAGGAACAGCAGCAGATCTGATAGAGGCGTTCAGGGAATCCAGAGCTGAAACACACATTCCTGCATCTGCAGGGTTTAGATGCTCCTCTGGACTCGGGCTCTGGTCATCGGTGATGCTGTAGCAGACCGCTCGCACCGAGACCCATGGCGGAGACCCGGGCTGGACTGCAGAACACTGGGGTTCAGTGCCAGAAAGCAGGACACTCAGATCTGCTGCGGCCTGAGAGTAACAGAGCTCCTGCTCACCTGAATAAGGGGCTTCAGGCTCCATGGATTCATGGCTGTGTACGGCTGGTGCTCTGAGTTCTGACACCACACCTGAATCAGAGGTGAAGCTGTGGCTGTCGCTGTCACTGAGAGATTGGCTTTGCTGAAGACGCTCCTGATCCGCTGATATTGCAGCACCGTGCGGAGAGTGTCCACAGTTATTGCTCAACACATGCTCCGTGGCTGTATCCTGAGACGTATTCACACTGCTGTCTGTACACACGCAAACATCAGCCGCATGCTTCTCCTGAAAGAGAGACTCCTCTGATGAGGCAGGGCTGTGGACTGATCTGATCTCAGCAGGATCCGCACTCTTCCCTTCACAGGAATAATCAACACGGGCCGGATTCTGGCTCTGGGAGCTGACCGCAGCAGGAGCAGAACACACTTCAGATGCTGCGCACACAAAACCCCTGATGTCGGAGTCGGAGCCGGCGATGGACTCGTACCCGGAGGAAGGCAGGGAGCGGCTGCAGTCTCCCAGAGCACCTGCTGGTGGCTCCAGTACATCAGACGCAGTCCGGCCGGATGGATCCACGCCGCACTGCAGCTCTGCATCTGCAGCTCTGTTATCCTCCATCAGACCTGACTCTGAGGTAAGCTCGACGGTCAGCAGGACACCTCGCTCTGAATCCTCCATCTCCTGCAGAGCGGAGAGAGCGCTGGCCAAGATGCCGTCCACCATCAGTCTAGACTCCTCCCGCAGGAGCTGTTCCTCCACCCCAGCCTGCCGCTCCACTGGCTCGGGATCAGACTCCTGCCGATCATCAGTCCTGTCTGCAACTACACACACCTCCGCACTGTTCTGCTCGGGTTCTGGAGTGTGAGCGGTGTGTGGACGGTGTGTGTTGGAGGCTGATTGTGTGTTTGATTGGGTCTCTGGCGCAGCGTTCAGATCAAGATGCTCCTGTTGGGTGTACACCAGGTGTTTGGGTGGTCTTGGTTCTGCTTGAGGGAGTGTGTAGACTGGTTCCATCTCTACACAGGTAATGGACCAGTTTGAGTATGTGGGATGAGGGAGTGCTGGAGATTCAACAGTGGGATCCTGGGCTAGTAAAACCCCCTGAGTCAACAACACGTCCTCCATCTGCTGTGTCCATGGAGGAGAGCTCTGGTTTAGCACACTGGGACTCTCCTGCAGGTCCGTGCTCATGGTGTTTACAGTGAAACAGCAGGTCTGCTCGGGGTGTGCAGGCTCGTCTCCTTCACATATGGGGGAATGAAGCTCGATGCTATGCTTCTTCTTTGGTTTTCTTGCTTCCCTCAGGCCTCGGTACGTGCCGTAGGTCACCACAGGGGGGCAGGAGAGATCGTAGCGTCGCTTCTCCTCCAACAGCTCTTTGGCATTGATGTCTATGGCTTCACTTCCATCTTCAGCAGATCTGTGGAAGGAAAACAGAAGAGAAAGAAGATAAGCTACGGCACACAGTTCCACACGCACACACATTAGCTCTGTTCCCATGCAAAGATCTGAATTACACCACTTGATTGTGGCATTCAACACTTGTGAACAAAGCAGCGCTTCCTTCCGATAAGCCAAAATAAACTGACGCAGATATGAAATAGCTGAGGGATTCTCCACTGTGCTGCTCTAATGAATGAGCTGAGCCTCAGAACACCAAACGCAACGAACACGGTGAATGAGGAGGCTTCTGGAGGAGTGAGACGGGAGCGCAGACAGATGCTCAAGACAGTTCTGGAGGGAATAATAATAGAAGAAGAAGAAGAATACTGAAGCCCTGTGGAGACGGACTGATGCCTTTTACTCCCTAAAGCTGTTTACAGCACAGTTCTTCTGCATTTAGCCGTATCAGATACAGAGAGGTGTGTGCTACTATTGTGTCTTCATGCGTTTTTTTAAAGACTTTGTGCATCTTGATGTTTTTATTAGGCAGTGCTTTATGCTATATTTCCAAAATGCACATCCAGTTGTTGTGCTGCACGCATTATTTTAATGCATTATCAGTGTATAATGTCTTAAAGTGACAGCAGCCCCATTAAACACTCTTTATGTTCATGTCAAACACTTAAATCCCTGTTTTGACCCTTTAATGCACACGCTCAAGACATCAGAGGAGCTCTGTGCTGTCACACTGAAGCAAACCGGCAGTAATGTGCCTCCTCTATATAGTCATCAGCAACATTTACACTTTTGCCGTCGGCACAGCAGACATCATCACCTCATCTGACAACACACACAGAGTCACGTTCCCCCGATAAGAAGAGCATGTTCAAAAACAACCAACATTCAATCAATGTGCTGTAGAAACACACACACATACACACAAACACACAAACACACATCAAATTATTTCAAATGAAAGAAAAGGACGTGTGTGTGTGTGTGTGTGTGTGTGTGTGTGTGTGTGTGTGTGTGTGTGTGTTTGAGCTGAGAACAGCACACAGATGTTGTCCTCCAGCTCTCTGAATCTGACGCTTTCAGGCTGTGATCCTCATTGTGGTGTTTTGGTGACTGTCGCTTTAAATGCAAATGAGATTGTGCTCTTTTCAGAAGAGGGCGGAGCTACAGACAGCTATGTTTCAGTGTGTGTGTTGTGAGTGCTGCTCAGGTGTGTGTGTGCTTCAGTGTGTGTGTTGATGCTTCTGTCAGTCTATGTGGCTCCTGTCTCTGTTCATCTAGAACTCTACATCTATAATCCTCTGAGTCTCCGCTGACATCATCTTCAGCAGCTCAAACACTCTAATGGCTAATGGACAGACGGCTGCTTCTCACTCAGGCCTGCTGGACATGCTAATGAGATGGAGACTTGTGGGCGGGGCTTTCCCCCTCTGATGACACGTACAAAGGGGGAATGCCAATCAGAGTGATTCTGCATCAAGTCTGATTATAATAAACACAGTTCACTCATGATGAGCATTACAGGCTGCTGGAGATACACACACACTCACACACACACTCACACACACACACACACACACACACACACACACACACTACTGGGGTTAAAGCCCTTCTAGAAGTGATTTCTGCATTTCCTTCATCATGAGTTGAATAACAACACTGTTTTGGAATAAATGAACAGTCTGAAAATCCCAGTGAAAGTCTAGTCACTCGTCTAGTTAATAACATCAAATATTCAGATGAGGGATGAGTGATGCAGGCAGATGTGAGAATAATATCTGTTTAAATGTTGTGATTGACCAATAGGAAGGTTTCCTGAGAGCCGTGTGATCATCCTCCTCCTCCTCATATATAATCCTCCATGATGAGGAGCATCAGAGAGTGTGAAGCAGAACTCCACCTGAGAAGAGCTCATAAACACAGCACTACTGTACAGCAAGCGCCCGGCACAATATCTCCCAGCATGCACTGCAGCACTGGCCTCTGAGATATAAATACACACTTCTGAAACGCAGGCGTCAGCGCGGCTCAGACGGGGAGAGAATGGAGGCTTTATACTCAGACTCAAACACTGTGATGTGTGTTATGAT